AAAAGGGATAGAAAGTGTCTTTGAAGAAATAATTGCTGAAAACTTCCCCAAACTGGGGGAGGAAATAACCGAACAGACCACGGAAATACATAGAACCCCCAACAGAAAGGATCGAAGGAGGACAACACCAAGACACATAATAATTGAAATGGCAAGGATCAAGGACAAGGAAAGAGTTTTAAAGGCAGCTAGAGAGAAAAAGGTCACCTATAAAGGAAAACCCATCAGGTTATCATCAGACTTCTCAACAGAAACCTTACAGGCCAAAAGAGAATGGCATGATATATTTAATGCAATGAAACAGAAGGGCCTTGAACCAAGGATACTGTATCCAGCACGATTATCATTTGAATGTGATGGGGGGGATTAAACAATTCCCAGACAAGCAAAGTTGAGGGAATTTGCCTCCCACAAACCACCTCTACAGGGCATCTTACAGGGACTGCTCTAGATGGGAGCACTCCTAAAAAGAGCACAGAACAAAACACCCAGAACATGAAGAATGGAGGAGGAGGAATAAGAAGGGAGAGAAGAAAAGAATCTCTAGACAGTGTACATAACAGCTCAATAAGTGAGCTAAGTTAGGCAGTAAGATACTAAAGAAGCTAACCTTGAACGTTTGGTAATCACGAATTTAAAGCCTGCAATGGCAATAATTACATATCTTTCAATAGTAACCCTAAATGTCAATGGACTGAATGTACCAATCAAAAGACACAGAGTAATAGAATGGATAAAAAAGCAAGACCCATCTATATGCTGCTTACAAGAAACTCAACTCAAACCCAAAGACATGTACAGACTGAAAGTCAAGGGATGGAAAAACATATTTCAGGCAAAGAACAGAGAGAAGAAAGCAGGAGTTGCAGTACTAATATCAGACAAAATAGACTTCAAAACAAAGAAAGTAACAAGAGATAAAGAAGGACACTTCATAATGATAAAGGGCTCAGTCCAACAAGAGGATATAACCATTCCAAATATATATGCACCCAACACAGAAGCACTAGCATATGTGAAACAAATGCTAACAGAACTAAAGGGGGAAATAGACTGCAATACATTCATTTTAGGAGACTTCAACACACCACTCACCACAAAGGATAGATCCACTGGGCAGAAAATAAGTAAGGACACGGAGGCACTGAACAACACAGTAGAACAGATGGACCTAATAGACATCTATAGAACTCTACATCGAAAAGCAACAGGATATACATTCTTCTCAAGTGCACATGGAACATTCTCCAGAATAGACCACATACTAGACCACAAAAAGAGCCTCAGTAAATTCCAAAATATTGAAATTCTACCAACCAACTTTTCAGTCCACAAAGGTATAAAACTAGGGATAAATTCTACAAAGAAAATAAAAAGGCTCACAAACATATGGAGGCTTAACAACATGCTTCTAAATAATCAATGGATCAATGAACAAATTAAAATAGAGATCAAGGAATATATGGAAACAAATGACAAAACAACACAAAGCCCCAACTTTTGTGGGAAGCAGCGAAAGCAGTCTTAAGAGGAAAGTATATAGCGATCCAGGCACACTTGAAGAAGGAAGAACAATCCCAAATGAATAGTCTAACATCACAATTATGGAAACTGGAAAAGAAGAACAAATGCAGCCTAAAGTCAGCAGAAGGAGGGACATAATAAAGATCAGAGAAGAAATAAACAAAATAGAGAAGAATAAAACAATAGCAAAAATCAACGAAACCAAGATCTGGTCCTTTGAGAAAATAACAAGATACATAAACCTCTAGCCAAACTTATTAAGAGAAAAAGAGAACACAAATCAACAGAATCAGAAATGAGAATGGAAAAATCACGACAGACTCCACAGAAATACCAAGAGTTATTAAAGACTACTATGAAAACCTATATGCCAACAAGCTGGAAAACCTAGAAGAAATGGACAACTTCCTAGAAAAATACAACCTTCCAAGACTGACCAAGGAAGAAACACAAAAGTTAAACAAACCAATTACAAGCAAAGAAATTGAAACGGTAATCAAAAAACTACCCAAGAACAAAACCCCGGGGCCGGACGGATTTACCTCGGAATTTTATCAGACACACAGAGAAGACATAATACCCATTCTCCTTAAAGTGTTCCACAAAATAGAAGAAGAGGGAATACTCCCAAACTCATTCTATGAAGCCAACATCACCCTAATACCAAAACCAGGCAAAGACCCCACCAAAAAAGAAAATTACAGACCAATATCCCTGATGAATGTAGATGCAAAAATACTCAATAAAATATTAGCAAACAGAATTCAACAGTATATCAAAAGGATCATACACCATGACCAAGTGGGGTTCATCCCAGGGATGCAAGGATGGTACAACATTCGAAAATCCATCAACATCATCCACCACATCAACAAAAAGAAAGACAA